TCTCGGAGCTGCTAGAGAGGAAGGTCTGCTAGCTGCTCAACCGCTTCCAAGACTAGCCCGCCCACACGGCCCGCCCCGCCCTCCCCACAAACCACCCACTCCTGGCCCGCCCCGCCCTCCCCGCCCTCCGCCTGAATAAAAGCGTCCTGGACCTCATAACCTGCCTGTGCTGGGGGGTCCTGCCACCACACGGGGATTTGGCTCCAGTCTGAGGTCACCAGGGAGCACCAGTGAGGACCAGCCTCTGAAGTGGGTGTCACCTCCCATGGCTGGAGGGCCAGGCAGCCAGCTCAGTCCTGTCTCAGCAGCCCCTGGGTCCTTCCTCCCCCCTCCCCTCTCTGCCCGAGTGGAGCAGCAGAGTCCAGGATGCCCCCAAGCCCTGACCCACAGGCCAGACCCTTCTTGACCCCAGGATGGAACCCTTGGAGACACAGCCTGCCCACCCAGCACCCTGGAGGAGTGCTCCCAGGAGGAGGCATGGCAGATACCAGCAATGGGACAGCGGAAACACTTTATTCCCAGGCTCTTAGCAGCCCTGTGGCCACTAGCTAAGAATCCCCAGTCTGGGGAGGGCCAGTCCCCATAGTCTGGCCCAGGGTGGTAGGGGCTGGTGATCTGGGTTTGTCCCAGGGACACAGGCATGGCGGAGAGGGGGTTTACTCTTTCCGGAAAATGAGGCACTTGTTGTTGGCTGGCATGTCCACCTGGGGGAGATACTTTGGCTGGAGAAGCTGCTCCTGGTCCCCAGGGAGGCTGCCTGTGACCACAGTCCTCCCCACTTACCATCCTCTCCAGGAGCAGCCGGCTGGCCTGGCCCAGGTTCTCCAGAAGGGCCGTGTCCCGCAGCCCCCACTCTGGGTTCCTGCAGGAGAGAAGGAGGTGGAATCGGCCTGGGGGTCTACCCAGCCCACCTGCCCCCCCAACCAAACCCCCTACTCACCCAGCTCTGACCTGCATCTGAGGGTGAGGTCAAAGTCCACGTTACTCTGGGGAGAAATCTTCCCATTGATGGCATAGGGCTGTGGAGACGGAGAACACGATTCTGTCCGCTATCCACAGGCTCAGCCATCTCCTGTCATCCACTGGGCAGACTTGCAGGATGGCACCCACAGAATGGAAATGACATACCCCTCATTGCTTCCCAGAGGGGGACAGCTGAGGACCAGCTGCTGAGCCAACGGGGTGCAGAAAGACTGGCAGATGACAGAGGAGTGTTGGAGAGGGGAGGGCCTGGGTGTGTTTCAGTGATAATGGGAAGCTGAGGAAAAGGGCAACTGAAAATACGGAGACAAGAAAGGAGTCCTGAAAGGCTGGGACAGCCAAGGCCGGCTGGGGTGGTCCTGGCAGGAGAGGCCCGTTCCAAGCAGGAGCACTCACCCCATAGGTGATGAGGAGTGCCTTGCGTTTGAGCAGGTGTCCTGCTGCTCTGAAGAGCCCCTGGGAAGTGGGGGAAGCAGGAGAGCAGTGAGGAGCCTTCCCCAGGGCCCAAAAGAGCCCTGGGCCCGGGACTGGAATCTCAGCCTGACCTCCCCCAGCCTGAGTGCCCTGTCTCTGATTCGGGGCAGACCTGGCATCCCGCTCCCTCCCAATGCAGGGGAAGGAATACCGCACGGTGCAGGTGGGTGGCCCCTGGGTAGCTCACCCACGCTCCCACAGACCTCGGTGCAGCTCAGGGGGCTGATGTGGCTCATGTTGATGCAGAGTAGCAGGTCCAAAGATTGCGGCAGGATCCCGCCCCACTGCTCCCAATCCCACCTCACGTCCAGGTACAGCGGGGCCTTCACGTTAGGCAGTCCCTGGACCTGAGTGGTGGCCAAGATGCTGCGGGAAGGCAGCCCGTGGGTGGGGGGGCCTGTGCAGCCGTTTCTGCAACCCTACTTGGGGGAGGCTTAGCGGGATCACAATAGCGTGGGGATCCAGGGCAGCGGGACGGGGCACATTTTCACCCCCGGGGTCCCGCCTTCCCGCCGCACCTGTCCAGGCAGCGCTGGTCCACGTCGGACGGCTGCCACTCGGCGTGGGGAAAGGCCCGCGCGAAGTGGGCCGTGTGCTGGCCAGAGCCCGAGGCCACCTCGAGCACGCGGACGCCGCGCTGGGCCGGGTCCACGTACTGCCGCAACACGCGCAGGATGGGTTCCTTGTTCCGTTCGGCGGCCGCCGCCACCAGCATCTTTCTAGTCTCGCGCGGCGGGGCCCGTTGTGAGTGTTAGTCCAGCACCTCCGGGCCCGTCGGGTGCGGTGGTCCGGCTCCGCGGGGCCCGTCGGGAGTGGTGCTGTGGTACCGCGGGGCCGTCGGGAGTGGTAGTCCGGCACCGCGGGGCCCGTCGGGAGCTGTGGCCTGGCCTCCGGGCAGCCGGCGACCCCCCCCCCCACACACATACACCCACAGACTACAATTCCCAGGAGAACACGCGCCGCGCCTTAAAGGCCTCGCAGCCGCAGAGGTGGGTAGGGAGCCGCGGCCTCCGCAGGGGGACGGGGCGAGGAGTTTGGGGGGCTGGTTTACAGGCACACATTGGCTCAGCACCCGGTGCCCGTGGCTGTCCTGGCACATTTTCTTAGCGCTTGTTACTCCAACGTTGTCTCGTTCGTGTCGCATTGGAATGGGATACTTCCCTCTAGTCTTTCTTTCCTTTATGAAATCTCTCGGGGTTTTTTTGAGTTGAGGGGAAAGAAAAAATATGCCATGCGCCGCCCGGGAATCGAACCCGGGTCGCAAGAATGGGAATCTTGCATGATACCACTACACCAGCGGCGCTGCCGCTCAAGAACTTGTCCGCGAGACTTAGGAGATTGTGATGCAACTACCAGCCTCCTCCACTACCCTTCCCACCTCCGCCTCCCCGGCTCCGCGCAGAGACATTGGTGCGCATGCGTCGCTAATGGTTAGGTGCACCAGGTTTGGCGGGGTCCGCGATGGTCGGGGGGGCTCGGGGTGTCGCTTGGGCACCCCGCACTCGAGGGGAAGGAGCGGGGATGAGCTACGTGGGCTTGTAGCCGACTGGATTCGAGCGTGCTCCGTGGAAACCACGGCAACCGCGGCATTCGGACATTGTGGGGGCGGGGCCATGGGAGGGCCTTCGTGGCTGGGGCGGGCTCCTGGCTGGGCGGGAGCTGCGGGTGGGTGGGGTTGTGTGGCGGAGCTCCCCGTGGTGGACTGGGATCCGCTGGGGCGGGGCTGGGGCTGCAGCTGGGCGGGGTTCTGGGGCGGGACTCTTTATGTGGGCGGGGTTGTGCTCGGCGGGGCTCCTAGCGGTGGGTGGGGCTCCGGGAGGGGCGGGCCCAGCCTGCCGGAACTGAGCCTGTGATGCTCAGGGCTTCTCTGTGACACTGAGATGACCAGCGCTAGCCTAGGGTTCACGGATGTTGTGCGGGGTCGGTGACCTCTGAGTCAAGTCGAAGGCCGATTTGTGTTGTGTCCACGGTTCTTCCCTGGTTGTCTTCTTGGGGCCCATGTCTCAGAAGGGGCCCTTTCAGCAAGCTGGAGACCGTGCTCTGCAGTCAGGACTAGCTTATCTCCTTTGCTGGGCACTTTTTCTCTCGTGAGACACCCCTCCCCCCATACCCAACGTCGCTCTGGCAAGAGCTCTGAGAATGGCACTGACCGAGATTTTAGCCTGGGATTGCTGTTAAGGGGGCATGCAGAGTGGGACCAGAGGCCGCTGTCTGAATGTGGTCAGAAAAGGACGACAATCTTGCATCTTAGGGACGGGAGATGCGAAAGTTCCACTCAGTGGGTCGGCCTCCAGACAACCCCTTTGGCATTCTGCATTACGACCACCCTTTTTTCGTAGCTGACTTTCCCATTTCATGGCCCTGAGCTTTCATTACCTGACTCACTTTTGCCTCACCTCCTAGTTTGTTGGCTGAGCATTTTCTGTGTCTCCAGGTGGAGAAGAGGTGTCCTTCAATGTGAATCCCTGACCTTCACCTGTAATGATCAGTGGTCATCTGAGGCCTCACCAACCAGGCCCCTCAGCCCTCCTTGCCCACTCGAGAGGCACCATGCTTCCTGGTGA